CAGAGAGAGACACAGAGAGAGAGACACAGAGAGAGACAAAGCTATAGAGAGACTGAGAGAGACAGAGAGAGACAGAGAGAGTAGAGATGGAGAGAGAGGGAGGGAGGGAGAGTGAATGAGAGAAAGACAGAGACAGACAGACAGACAGACAGACAGACAGACAGATAGATAGATAGATAGATAGATAGATAGATAGATAGATAGATAGCTAGATAGATAGATAGATAGATAGATAGATAGATAGATAGATAGATAGATAGATAGATAGGTAGATAGATAGATAGATACATAGATGAGTGATAGAGAGAGACAGAGAGTAAGAGAGATTGGAGTTGGGGGGGGGGTAATTTTTTTCGATTTCTTCTTTTTACATTGCAACACTGTGGAAAAGCAATTCCTAAATGGCCCTATTACAGGGTACACGAGAAAAACATGATCATACGAGGATAGTGTCAGACAGCCTATCAAAATGTTCAATTAATCTAATGGGCTTGTCAGTCAAAGCATTTTAATCATGCTCAGAAATATATTGATGGAGAATCAGCAAACACTGGGTATCTCATGGATCCGCTGAGTAAACAAGACCATTGGTAGTCAAACATTTTCTTTTTTACCGAGACAAACGCACATATCATTATGCATATTGTGTTTCGTTGGACACTGAGGAAATTCTCAAACAAAATAGTTAATAGACCATGAAACAACAATTGAAACTCAACGCAGTGCGGAATAGCAAAACGCGTACAAAGCAAAGACGTGATAAAAGTAGAAATAGAAAGACACCCCCCCCCTCCCCACAAACCACCCTTAGCAGCAACCACGGCTGAGACGGAAAGACCGAAATACGTGTACTTGAACTCCCCCCCCCCAAGCCCCACGCGGTCTTCAGCATGCGATGGCGAAGCGCCTAACCGTAACACCGCAGTCGTCGATATTGCAGCCGTTTTGAGAAGATGAAGAACTGGGATTCAGAAATTTCAAAACGTCTCACGGAGACTCCAATATTCATCATAGAAAATAATATTTATTATTAAATCAATAGGGTAAATCTCTGCTTTTTCCAAGTGCGACACTGCCCTGCTGACACAAATTATACCTTTGAAGACAGAAAACCCAGTTAGATGATAAAATAAGATTTCTTTGACCTTTGAACCGGTACGCATAAGGACAAACACTTTTAGACAAATACTTCTTTAGCATCAGTGCTGCACGATGTTTGCAGAGAACGTTACGTATTAGATCTATAATTTTATTTTTTTTGTCCATCGCTGCCTCTTTTGTCGGATCTGTTTTCGTTTTGCTCCATATGATGAGGATCCTTTTTATGCCACAAATGTGGTCATAGATCCTGACATTTGACTTAGTGTGCCAAAATACATATTACACAGATAGCGGCAATGGTTGAAATGATGACTTTGACCTGAAAGCTCGAGGCAAAATCCAATTTCTATACCTTTTCTGAAAATCAGAACAATTGAAAGTACATATTATGCAGATACGAACAAACAGTGAGCTGACTGTTTTATCTTTTGACCCCAAAAAACGACATATCGTGAAATGCAACGATCGAAAACCACGGTTATCTTAGTTATGTCTTTCCCAAATACCGCGCCCCCTAAAAAAATAGCCCCAACCCCCCCGCCCCCCCTTTCCTAAAAAACAAAACAAACCCAAAAAACTAACAAACAAACAGCCCCCCGCCCCCAACAAAAAACAAAACAAAACAGAAACAACCACACACACAAACAAACAACAAAAACAAACAACAAAAACAAACAAGCAAACAAAAACCGCAACAAAACACGATAAAAGGGGACAGCGTGTGCTGTAGGCATTTAAAAATGGCAAGAAGGGCCCTATGCATCCTCTCTCACACCACTTCTTACTTACCAGCCCCCCCCCCCCCCCCCC